AGTGATCCAGGAACCAGAATAAACTCCAGGAGCAGGATCAAACAATGAACTACATAGAAAACCATTAAAGGATCCAGATCCTTTCTAAACTAGCAGAATTCCAAGCCAGGCTACTGTTTAGCATTGCTGTTACTTTAAGATTGGAAATCTGCTGCTTGCCTGAGAGGCTGTAAATCCTTCGTTATTCTTTTGCTGATCAGCAAGAGCGTATAAGGCAGCCAGAAAAGCTTTTTTTAGTAGCACTGCAATCACTCTAATCTGCATGATCAAACTCATAGCTAAATCCTTGACTTCCTGAATGTTAACTCAATCTCTTGTAATCAGTGCTATTGTCCCCTCTCAGATCTCTCACATTCTTTTGACTGTGTTCCCCTCATTTCATTAACATCAGCCCAGCTACTGGTCCCATGTGACTTAGAACCTATAAAACACTATGTATGTATTCTAAAGCTTGCAACTGGTTCCAACCTCTACCCAGCAGTGCTGTTTATAAGGTTTCTCTCTGCAGAGGGTGCCTGAGGGCTCAATCTAATAATTCTTTTGAGGTTCATTACAAAATCTGTTCCCCTGTGAATCTGAGCACAGTCCTTATGACTGCAATTCTGAGACTGACACATGGGTGCGAAAGTTGAACAGTGAAGAAAGCTGACAGGTGGAAAATGGGTCTGTTTGAAACATGGTGCTGAAGGTGAGCTTTGCATATAACATGGACTAACAAGTGAGTCACAGATAATATGAAGTTGTAACTTTCCTTAGAGGCAAAGCTGACAAAACTGAGGTTGTCATATTTTGGGCACTTAATGAGAATCCCTCATTCATGGATCACTGCCTTGTCGTGGCGAAGGGGCTTGCGTAGCTCAATGAAGCAATGAGCTACGCTGTGCGGGGACATCCAAGACGGACAGGTCATAGCAGAGAGCTCTGACAAAACGTGATCCACTGGAGAAGGAAATGGCAACCCACTCCAGTATCTTTGCCATGAAAACCCCATGGACAGTATCAAGAGGCAAAGAGATATGACGCCGGAAGATGAGCCCTTCAGGTTGGAAGGTGTCCAATATGCTCCCGGGGAAGAGCGGAGGGCTAGTACTAGTAGTGCCAGGAAGAATGAAGCGACTGGGTCAAAGCTGAGAGGACACTCAGTTGCAGATGTATCTGGTGGTGAAAGGAGAGTCCAATGCTGTAAAGATCTATACTGCATAAGAACCTGAAATGTAAGATCCATGAATCAAGGCAAGCTGGATGTGGTCAACAAGAGATGACAAGACATCTTAGGAATCAGTGAACTAAAATGGAAAGTAATGGGTGAATTTAATTCAGATGACCATCAGGTATACTACTGCGGGCAAGAATCCCTCAGAAGAAATGGAGTAGCCTTCATAGTCAATAAAAGAGTAGGAAAAGCAGTGCTGGGATACAATCTCCAAAATGACAGAATTATCTCAGTTTGAAACCAAGGCAAACCATTCAACATCACAGTAGTCCAAGTCTATGCCCCTACCAGTGGTGCTGAAGAGGCTGAAGTTGACTGGTTCTATGAAGGCCTACAACACCTTCTAGAATTAACACCATAAAATGATGTCCTTATCATCATGGGGGATTGGAATGCTAAAGTAGGAAACCAAAAGATAACTGGAATAACAGGCAAGTTTGGCCTTGGAGTACAAAATGAAGCAGGGCACAGGCTGGTAGAATTTTGTCAAGAGAATACGATGCTCATAGCAAACACTCTTTTTCAACAACCCACGAGACAACTCTACACATGGACATCACCAGACGGTCAACACAGAAATCAGACTGACTATGTGCTCTGCAGCCAGAGATGGAGAAGCTCTATACAGTCAGTAAAAACTAGACCAGGAGCTGACTGTGGCTCAGATCATGAGCTTCTGGTTGCAAAATTTAGGCTTAAATTGAAGAAAGTAGGGAAAAGAACTAGGTCACTCTGGGGTGACCTAAATCATATCCCTGATGAATATACAGTGGAGTTCACAAATAGATGTAAGGAATTAGATCTGATCTAATGTATTTTATTGTGTTGTAAGCCGCCCCGAGGCTTTGGCAAGGGACGGCATAGAAATGTAATAATAATAATAATAATAATAATAATAATAATAATAATAATAATAATAGACAGAGTGCCTGAAGAACTATGTATGGAGGTTCACAACATTGTACAAGAGGTAGCAACTAGAACCATTCCAAAGAAAAAGAAATGCAAGAAAGTAAAATGGCTGTGTGAGGAAGCTTTACGAATAGCTGAGGAGACAAGGGAAGCAAAAGGCAAGGGAGAAAGAAACACCCAACCGAATGCAGAATTCCAGAGAATAGCTAGAAGAAATAAGAATGCCTTCTTAAATGAACAGTGCAAAGAAATAGAAGAAAACAATAGAATAGGGAGGACCAGAGATCTCTTCAAGAAAATTGGAGATATGAAGGGAAAGTTTCAGTTTCATGCAAAGATGGGCATGCTAAAGGACCAAAATGGCAGGGACCTAACAGAGGCAGAAGAGATGGCAAGATTATACAGAAGAACTATACAAGAAAGAGCTTAATGTCCCTGATAACCACGATGGGGTGGTCACTGACCTCGAGCCAGACATCCTGGAATGTGAAGTCAAATGGGTCTTAGGAAGTCTGAGCAACAACAAGGCAAGTGGAGGTGACAATATTCCAGCTGAGCTGTTCAAAAACTTAAAAGACGATGCAGTAAAAGTGCTACACTCAATATGCCAGCAAACTTGGAAAACTCAACAGTGGCCACAGGATTGGAAAAGATCAGTTTACATTCCAATCCCAAAGAAAGGCAATGCCAGGGAATGTTCAAACTACCGCACCATTGCACTCATTTCACATGCTAGCAAAGTTATGCGCAAAATCCTTCAAGCTAGGCTCCAGCAGTATGTGGACTGAGAACTACCAGAAGTACAGGCAGGATTTCGAAGAGGAAGGGGAACTAGAGATCAAATTGCCAACATACACTGGATCATGGAGAAAGCTAGGGAGTTCCAGAAAAACATCTACTTCTGCTTCATTGACTATGCTAAAGCCTTTGATTGTGTGGATCACAACAAATTGAGGCAAGTTCTTAAAGAGATGGGAGTACTTGACCATCTTATTTGTCTCTTGAGAAACCTATATGTGGGTCAAGAAGCAACAGTGAGAACTGGGCACGGAACCACTGATTGGTTCAAAATTGGGCAAGGAGTATGGCAAGGCTGCATATTGCCCCCCTGCCTGTTTAACTTATATGCAGAGCACATCATGAGAAAGGCAGAGCTGGATTAATCACAAGTTGGAATTAAGATTGCTGGGAGAAATATCAACAACCTCCGATCACTCTAATGGCAGAAAGTGAAGAGGAACTAAAGAACCTCTTGATGCGGGTGAAGGAGGAGAGTACAAAAGTTGGCTTGAAACTCAACATCAAGAAAACTAAGATCATGGCATCCAGTCCTCTCACTTCCTGGCAAATAGATGGGGAAGAAATGGAGGTAGTGACAGATTTTATTTTCCTGGGCTCCAAGATCACTGCAGACGGTGACTGCAGCCAAGAAATTAAAAGACGCTTGTTCCTGGGGAGGAAAGCTATGGCAAATGTAGACAGCATATTAAAAAGCAGAGACATCACCCTGCCAACAAAAGTGCGTACAAGTCAAGGCTATGGTTTTCCCAGTTGCAATGTATGGCTGTGAAAGCTGGATCATAAGGAAGGCTGAGCGCCAAAGGATTGAGGCCATTGAATTGTGGTGCTGGAGGAGACTCCTGCAAGTCCCTTGGACCGCAAGGCGATCAAACCGGTCAGTCCTAGAGATCAACCCTGACTGCTCTTTAGAAGGCCAGATCCTGAAGATGAAACTCAAATACTTTGGCCACCTAATTAGAAGGAAGGACTCCCTGGAGAAGTCTAATGCTGGGAACAGTTGACGGGGAAAAAAGAAGACGAGGGCAGAGAATGAGGTGGCTTGATGGAGCCACCGACACAGTGTGAGCTTAGGTGGACTCTGGGGGATGGTGGAGGACAGGAAGGCCTGGAGGAATGTTGTCCATGGGGTCGCAATGGGTCGGACACAACTTCGTGACTAACAACAAGAATTCAAACTCTCTGGAGAAGACAATCATACTAGGGGGAAATCAAAGGCAGAATAGGAAGTCCAAGTAAGAGGTGTTTTGACTCCGTTAGTTTTGAGTTGGCAAGAGCTGAGGATTGCTAAGGACAGGCCATTCTGGAGGGCCTTTATTCTTGGTATCGCCAAAAATCGGAGAAAAGGAATTATTTTCAACACATTTCGTTGAACATAAACAGCAGGGAAGGCTAGGTATTTGGCTTTGAGATTATTGATGCTTACTCAGAACCTGGCTGAGTTCAGTAGGTCTCAGTGTCCGGTCAGTGTGCATAGGATTACTGCCTTAATATTGCCATAACTAGTCAACAAAATATATAAAATGATGAGACACTTAGAACGTCTACATGGGAAAAGCGGAATACTCAATCCAGCAGTCAGTCAACTGGTACGTCTAGGAAAGGACAGTCAGGACCGACTCTATGGTGGGAGACAGCAATGGCCGTCGACCGCAGCGCTTGCGCAATGCTTCTCCCTGTCTTTCTTGCGTGCACGGAGCACGCCATCGTATCCGGGGCCCTTTCCCTCGCGCGTGCGTAGTGCTGTATTCCCCTCCCCCATTTCCGCGCGTGCGCAGTATTTTTTCTCCCGTTCCTTTTTTCCCTTGTTTCTATAATTCTCCCACTCCTTCGCAACCTTTATTTTTGCGCGTGCTCGCGGCGATTCCCGCCTGGACCCAAATTTTCGTCGTCGCCTCTGCGCCTGCGCAGTGCTGCCTCGAGCCTCTGAGAGACATCACCGTCCCCCTTACGTGTACGCCCCGTGCTCCATCCCTGCCCACCAGCGCTAGTTATTCCGCGCGCAGTGCTGTCTCCAGCCCCGCGCCTCCGTCCTGCGCAGGCGCCGCCTTTCGGCTCGCCTCCCTTTTGTCGTTGCGGGCCCCCTGCCGCTCGCTCGCTGGCGGCGCGCATGCGCGGTGCGAGCGCTCTGCCCTCGGCAGTGCCTTGTCTATGGTGTCTGAGGCCTTTCCGCCATTTTGTCTGAGGGGACCCCCGAAAAGGATCCAGTTCCCCAAGGATCCGCTGCAGGAACGGGCCGACAAGGCCGTGGCGCCTCCGAAGACCCGTCGGGATGGCGACCACCGAAGCGGCGCAAGGGCTGCCCGGGCCCAGCGGGGAGGAGGCGGCGGTGGCTCCGTCGCCTTCCCTCAGCGGTGCGGCTGGGACGGCGACGCGGCGGCTGGGCGACCTGCGGGTGATCGACCTCCGCGCTGAGCTGAAGCGGCGCAACCTGGACAGCGGCGGCAACAAGAGCGTCCTCCTGGAGCGCCTCCGCAGCGTGAGCCTCGCCCTGCGGCCCCCCGCGTTCCCGCGGCTTGCGAGCGGCTTCGCCCCCCCCCCCCGCGCCGCGCACGGCAAGGCCGGGCCGTGCCGCCGCCCACGGCCATCGCGCTTCCTTGGCTCCGCCACTTCTTTCTCCGCCAACTCCCCCCCCCCTTCTTTATGTCCTCCCGCCACCTTCCATCTTTGGCCTCCGCTATTTCATCCTCACAACCCCCCTGCGACAGCTCCTCCTTCCTATTTCACCGCCAAAACAACCCTGCGAAGGAAGAGCAGCTTCTCTTATTCATCCACACAACAGTCCTGCGAGGGGGGGAGTTAAGCGGAGGACAGGCAGAAATAGAAAAGGACAGACGGCTCAGGGTAGGATGAGTCGGGTCAGGCGGAAGGGTGCTATTGATTGATCGAATTTCTAACCTACTCCTGGGTGGATTTCAGCAATGAAATACAAAATAGAATTCAGATTAAAGTAAAATATCAAACAAGCGTTAAAATAATTTGTTAGGGGAGAATTCACACAAGGAGCATGTAGGACAGAGAAAAGATAATGATGGAGGCATGGGGGAATATGGGGAAATGGGCAGTGGGGTGCACTGAAGTTGTATTTGAGAGTACAGAAGGGATGAGAAGCTGGGATAGAAAAGGGAGGCAAAGGGTATCCATGTGAGGAGAAGAGATAGTGAGTGGGGGGATTATGAAAAACTGGAAGATTAGATATTTGGGGGATATGGGGAAGTGCGGGTACTTGGGCCAGTTGAAGCAAAGTGTGCCTAGTCATTTTGCATCTTACCTCATGCGACATGAAGCAGTTCACAAGAAAAAAAATCTAGAAAATATGAACTTCCAAAAGAAGTCAGTCTGCACACATTGATGTGAAGAACAAAGAAAGTAGATGGGAAATGAAGATGAATGATGGGAAGACCCATAGGAGGGAATTGGGAAAATTGTGGGGTAGATGAAGCATGCCTGGGAGGGAGACAGGGAGGAGAAACTGGTGATGAGCTACTTGCAGGGATAAAGCAAAGGTAGGGAAAGAATAAAAGCTAAGTATTAGAGATTGGCGAGGCAGTAGGTAATAGGAAGACACAAGCAAGGATTAGGAGGGAAAAGGAGAGTTGAAATTCAAGGAGGCAAAGGAGGAGTGAAAATCTGGGACTGAGAGGCTGAATATGGCCCAAGGGAGTTAATCCCTTCTAAAATGCACATCAGAAGAGCTTGGCTTTCATGGACCAGGGTCTCTTTATAGTGCAAGAGTACAAGAAGCATCAAAGGTAAGGCACTTGCTCTTGCTAATATTCTCATGTTTGCTCCTTCCAAATAGGCCATTGAGGAAGAAGGAGGAAATCCTGATGAAATTCCAGTGGCTTCAGAAGTCACTAGCAAGAGGACTCCCAAAAGAACCGTGAAAGGTATAAATTGGCATGCATTTTGGGGTTGCTGCCAGGATTATTATCTTTTTTTTCTGGTTCACTCCTTTCATGTGGATGTAATTTCATGCTACCAAACTTGGTTTATAGAGCAATTCTAAAGTCCCAGAGAAAACAGACTAGGATATAACAGATGTACTTTTCCAGGGCTTTAGGCACAATTGTGCTCTCAGTAGAAAAATACTTCTGCAAACCTTAAGATTCATCGAAACATGCTATTCTTTCCTCTCAATTCTTGGTGTCCCCATTTTTGGCTGTTGGAAGGAGTAATGATAATCGTGTGTTTAAGTAATTTGGGGTATGTCATTTAAGTTGAAACCACATTTGTGTTGTTGAGGAATTTCTGAATTCACATTATATGCTTTGAGCCAGGAATGGTAATTTTAAAAAAATATTTGGAGCTGTTCTGTTCTCTAGTTAAAATCTAAGAAGCAAAAACTGACCATTCTTACCAACATAGTTACAGGTGTACAAAGATATGGTTTGTGCATGAAATGCACAAAATCCAACAGCTTAATATGAGTGGGTTTATTTTAACCTCATGTGGATCCTGCATCCCACCCCCACTCCCAGCAGTGAACCAAGCCTTTCACCACACAGTGATAAAAAATTATTAGGGTTCTCAAGGGCAAGATAACATAACATTTGGCTTTCTTTTCCGCTTATAAGGCAGCTAGGGGGCTATCCCTGCTTTTAAGCTTTAGGGTGTAACTTTATTCAAGGATGTATTCAAGAAGGACCCAAGTTGGAAAAAGAAATACATGAAAATAACCACCTGTTAGTTTTGAATCTGTACACTTGTTTTTTAGGGCGCAAACCTGAGGAAGAAGGAGGTGATGACAATGGATTGGAGGAAAACTCACGAGATGGACAGGTATGGGAGAATGGAATATATGATTTAACTTTTCTTTTAAACACAAGTTCCAAGTCACAGCAACAATAACCTGGTCTTACTTGCCTCATCCTTATTGCAGGAGGATATTGAAGCAAGTTCAGACAACTTGCAGGATATTGATATGATGGATATAAGCATTTTAGATGAAGCTGAAATAGATAACACTAGTGCTGTTGATTGTGGAGATGACTACAGTCCTGAGGACATCCTTGAGTCTGACAAAGAAAATATTGAAGCAGAAATGAAAGAGCTTCCAGAGCAATTGATGGAGAGTGAGGTAGGTAATTGGTAGTAACTTCTTTTTTTTTTTTTTTTTTACAATTTCTAGTTATGTATGGCATTTGGAGATTTGTAACCAAAGACTTGAGCTTGTTAAAAGTATTGTATGAAATTCAACCTTCTGCACATGTACATAACCATAACTCTTCCCTTGGAGTTTCCTGACTGAGAGTTCATATATTCCTCTTTTTAACTGCCAGCTGCACTATCCAGGCTAAGTGTATCAGCATGCTTTCACTGGCATATTCACTGCAGCAGTTGGAATGTTCATAAACATTCTTTAATGTCACACAAGTCAAGCCATTCATGCTAGCTCATCACAGTTAGTTGTTAACTGTTCTGTATAATACTGTGTGGTTGCTGTAGTGCCTTGCCAATTAGAATACTGTGCAGCAGGTGTGCACATTTTAGTCATGGTTATTTTCTTTTCTCAAGGGAATGCAGCAATAACAACTTTCTGCAATGAATGTGTATCTCTTTATTTTTCTTAGGAGAATGGTGAAGATTTTGATGACCAGCTTGATGCTGCTTCTCCTGATTTAGCAACTCTGAAGGTAATCTGGAGGTTTTCCTTCATGGGTTTGTTTAATATTCTAGAATACACATGGACAGATATTGCACTCATGTAAAATCATTTTGTGCTAGAACCTAAAGATCCAAAGAGCAGAATCAGCTGCAAAAGACATGTTATTTGCATTAGACATCTCTGAGCACATTCCAAGCTTAAGAACCAAAATGGAACTCAGTTCATAGCTCTCTTCTACAGAAGCCAGTGGCTCACTTGAATCTTTCCATGTTTCAGTAGGCTGATTTAAGTGGAATTAGCCATACTATTAAAACAACTAGGAGACAGACTCCCTTGCCAATTGACCTCTAATCTCCCAGAGAGCTAGACAGTCAGCTTGTTGCCTCTTTCCATTCCAGAGTCTTGAGCTGACAGTTGGGGTTTTTTGTTTTTTTGAACAGGTTCATACTTTCAACACAGGCACCAGTGAAAGGCTGAGTCCTACTCAAGCCAAGGCAAAAGGGACTCTCTTTCAGTGTGAATAGTAGTTTTATCAGGCAGCTCAGTGGGTCACTAAAATTTCTCTGGGTTTTGGCTCATGCCTGGTGAACATGTGTTATCTTTGCATAAACTTGAGGTTGGCAACCAAGGATAGTTCTTTTGCTTTCCATAGTTTTCACCAGTCTTTCAGTTGTACATCACTATTTTTGGCTCAAGCTGTTCCAGCTTTAAAAAGCAAAACTTAACCTTCCCATCAAACTGCTTCAGAGTGTGAGCAGTTCCCATCCCAAATTGCTCACTGTTCTGGAAGCATTGACTGTTAGGGCTGGAGGCTCCCTTCACTTGGTTCAGTCACCATCAGAGGCACATTTGGTCGGAATGCAAGAGAGGTTTGCTCAGTGGCTTCTCCCAGGAGGCCCTGAAACTCCCTACCAAAGGATGTTAAGCTGGCTTCATCCTTGATGTCCTTCTGCCAGCAGGCAAATAAGATTTTATTCAGCCTTCTAGCATTTAAGCTGACCTGTTTGTTGAAGCAGATTTTGGGGCAGATTAAAATTATTCAGGCATTTTTGGCTTTGTTGTGTTCTTGTGGAGATTTTGTTTTACTTGCACTTTATTATTAACCACCTTGAGTGGGATGGAAAGGCACAAAATGCATTTAATAAATACTTGAGAAGGGTTCCAGTTTTGTTGGAAGGGGGTAGGGCAGCACTCCTTCCAGCAGCTGGTGCATAGCATTTTTGAAACAGCCTGGCCAATAGGTTATTTGTCCCCTTAAAAGTTGGCCGCATACACACTCTTCAACTGATACTGCACATCCACATTCCATTGCTTGTGCTCTGATGCCAGGCACTGGAAGCTTTCATAGATGGAAGATATCATAACAGCTCCCAGCAATGATTAATTGCTGCAAGAAATACTGCAAACTGCTCTTGCAAGTGTCTTGATATGGGCACTTTGAAACCTCTGTTTCTGTAGTTGTAGTCAAGAGTGATTTTTTTCTGCACCAAGGAAAGCTGGATTTTGCCACCTGTACCAGTTACAAGAATGTTCTCCCCCCACCCCACAATTGATAATGGCAAATGTTAAGATGCAAAGAGAATAAATATTTTTATAGAGTGAGAAGTACTACTGGAAATCTTATTTAGAGATTGAGCAGTCCCTTCCTGCTTCAAAATATATAGTATCTTCATCCCCGCAGCAATCCTGTTATTGTTTGTATAATTGCTTATAGCTAGGGCTGGAAAAATCCTAGGTGTGTACAAACTAGATGGTATATCTTAGAAATCCAAGAGTTATGTTAAGCCTTACTGTCCTGCTTCACGGAAGTTCTCCCCTGCTGCATTTTTTGCAACCAAGCATTTCCAGCAGGTAGACATTCAGGGTTTGTTAAATATTTCCAGCAAAGGAGAGTGCGCCACCTCCTGGGCAGACTTTTCTGCTGTTGAACGGCTCTTTTTATCAATAAGTTTTTCCTAATGTTTAGTCATCCTCTGCTTCCCTGAAAGTTCTAGCCTTCTCGGCCCTTGGTACTGGAATTTGCTTTCTTATTGGAGATAACAGTTTTAATAAAGCTTTTTAGCTTCTATACTCTTACTGTAACAAAGCCTGAAATAATTGCACATTCTTCCTTTGTTTACCACTCCCTCTACTTTTCTTCCGTTCCTCTGTTGCTTTTACTGTATTGAATTTTAAATTATAATTTCCTTAAGCAGGACGTTTCCTCTTGTACTCTGTAAAATTCTGTATCCATTGGTGGCTTGTGTAACTAACCTGGGGTAAGTCCCATTGAACTCTGTATGTCTTTTCAGTGAACTTGCAAAAGATTGCACAGTTAAAATAGTTGTAACTACATCATATTTTCTTTGATCCATTTAACCTTTCTCTGCTCCCTCCCCTTCCCGTTTTTTCTACAGGACTTGGAAGAGCAACATACAGAGCCAGGTATTTTTCAATTCCTTTCTTCTAGCCAATTTTTTTATTGAGGTGGAGGGAAAGGCCCAGGACTTAAACTTGCTAAACATCTTACTTAATTGCATAGTGCTTAATCCAAATCATTCCAAAGTGATGCCACTTAGCAAGTGCTTTTTCTAGACCTGTTTTTTTTAATAAGAACTTCTGTTTAGCTTCATGAATACACTAGAAGATGTTAATGTCAAGTTTGAAAGCAAAAGATTTCTACCCATAGACGTGTGGCATAGAACATATTGTAATATATGATTGCGTGGTCAGGTAGAATAGCGAAGCCAGCTTAAAAAGTTATCATAGGGAAGTGCAAAGTTATATGTGAGTTTACGGCATAACAGAAGAAGGAAGACGAGGTTCCACGTGGAAATTCCATAAGATACTATTTACTTTCTTGGACTTTCAATGTTCACAAGTCATCAGAAGATGTTCCAGTTTTCATGTTGGACCACTCTGCTTTAAACAAAAACAAAAGAGAAAATGAAATTCAAAGTTTGAAATGGAATTTTGTGTTCTTTGATTCATTCCGTTTAAGCCTCTTGGAATTTGGAAGAATGAACCTCTTGAAGACCTGTCAAGAACAAGCCAGAAGGTTTTCATTAAAGTAATAGGGTCATTTTTTTCCCTACATAACTTATGATCTTGATTTAGTAAACCATGTCTAGATAGCTGTAGGCATTTGAATGTGATGTACCCAAGGGTTTTCCAATCTCTGTGTAGCCTTAGCCGTTCTCTCAGTGTTAGTCTGGCAGCCATGCCTGTCCCGCATTTGTCTTTGCTATGTTTCCCTGGTGATTAAACCTTGTGCCATTCTATTCCTGTTAAATCCATAGAAAATGAGAAAATGCTCGACATTTTGGGTGACACTTGTAAATCTGAGCCCCTTAAAGAAGACGCTTCTGAAGCGGAGCAGGCGCAGGAAGCGAATAACCCGTTTCCGGGCAAACAGGCAGCCGAGGAAGAGGAAGAAAAAGAAGAAGAAGACACGCTTGTCACCACTGCTCAGCCGGATGAAGACCTGTTAGAAATGGACAGCCAGTCAGGCCAGGTTTTGGCCAAGCACGAGGAGGAGGAGGAAGCAAAGCACTTAGTGGTAGAAAAAGGGGAGCCAAGCGAACAGACAGTTGAGGAAACCAAGCTGGACTCTGATTCTTTAGCGGTAGAGAACAGGAGTGGTGGAGGAGGAGGTGGAGGTGAGAGTAGCAGAGCAGCCCAAACTCTGGAAGCCAGTAGTGAGGAAACTGCGGAGACGGACACAGGTCCCCAAGTGGTTAGCCAAGATGCGGAGAAGATGGAAGCGAAGGCTAATTGTGAGGAAGAGTCCTCTGCCACTAGAGAGTCCTCTGCCAAAGAGGGCGGTGATCAGAACACGAGGTTTGTTTTTTCTCCGTTTTAGACCAGATGCTGTCTTAAAAAAATAATCTCATTGGTCTTTAAGAGATTGAGATCGGGTCAGTGTATTTCTTCAAATTGGCCTGCAAGACTTGAATTTGTTACCTTTCTCTAAAAGCCATCTTCTAGGTTTTGTTTTCTTCCTTCCTTGCACACTTTTTAAAGAACAGTGTTTGATTTCTTCTTTGCAACCTTCATGGGTTGTTTTTCTTAAATCTTCATTTTGTAAATTGTCTGTAAGATGTTTGGTCTCAGAGGTTGACCCATGCTTGTTGCTTATTTTAATAAGAAATTATTTTTTTAATTTTTATTGTTTTTCTTTTTACAACTTAAGTCGGGTAGGTATTGGAATCTAGTGTATTTTATACATTTAACACCAGTTTGCTTTTTCTTTTCTGATTACTTTTTCTTTCTTTTTTCTTTTCTGCCTTTAGTTCTGAAGAGACCAAAGATGGCAAATCGGCTTCAAAAGAGGAGAAAGGTATATATTCTAAAGTATTTATATATGTGCTTATAGAGGAAAATGACCTATCCATGATGACATACATATTTATTTGTACTATTTCCTCTTTCTGCTTAACAATAAAAGTGACTGATCGGAGGAAAAATTGTAATGCTTAGCTGGGTGCCCCCCAGTAACATGAATGCCGGTAGATGTACAGTGCCTGGATAGTGTTTAAACTGGGAAAGTATGTAGTCTCCACTTCCCATTCCCAGATGACTGAAGATACTATTTTTCTTCTAAAGGCTGGCAGCAAACCAAACGTATAATCTGATGATCTGATTTTAAAGAATTGCTCCAGCACTTGGTATACTGTGCCTTACCTGTTGGTGCTCCATAAAATGCTTCAGTTATTTTGAGATACCACTTTGCTGGCTTACGAACATGTTGTGGTAAAGTTGCTTACATATTTAGCAGAAGCAGCCTCCAATCGTCTTCTTTCCAACAAAGAAACAGACTTTCTTGTCTTAACTCTTGATTATCTACCAAAGTTACAGGTGGCTTTGAGAAAGACTACAGACGTAATTCCTGAGTGTTGCCTGCTTCCTGCTCTTAGTCACCAAATTGAGAAGCAAATCAAATAATGCCCTGGCTAGGAATGATTAGGATTTGCCTCAACTGTCTACCCTTTGACAGTTGAATGTATGCCAGTTGGAATCCTCAGAGGAGGCTTCTTGTTACTGTTTAGTTGCAAAGTTGTGCCTGGCTCTCTCTGACCCAATGAACAACATTCCTCCAGGTTTCCTGTCCTCCACCATCCCCTGGAGTACACCCAAGCCCACACCCACCTCTCCAGTGACCCCATCCAGCCACCTCAACCTCTGCCATCACTTGGAGTTTGCTATAATTTACTTACCTGCCCTCCAGTAATGCCACTTTAATCAGAAGGTGGTGGTCCAGCAGTCCTTGGCCAAAGGCAGCACAACCTGAGCCTTGTGTTCCTTGCTTTGCCTTGAAGGCTGTTAGGAGAAGACTGTTGGGAAGACCTGACAGTCTCTTACCAATCCAGGAAAATATTTTTTTTGTTATGGATTGGGTCATGCTATTCTCTTTAAAAGCCCAATTGCAACTTGGGATCCCTCCATAATTATCGGAGGGTATCATATAGCTTCATTTTAAATGTGGCCAAAAAAGCAAACCTGTTGTCAGCTCCTACAAGTCCAGTTTGTGAGTGTAAGTAAGGATCTAAGGTTGGTGGTCCTGAGCAATTGAAGCACATGAAAGCAACCCCAGCCAGTAATTACTGATGCTCTTGTTCGGCACTTACGACACATGTGGTCAAAAGCTGTCTATGACAGGCGGAATTTCTTAAAAGTCCTTCCAAAGAATGTCTTAAAATGCTATTGAAATATACATATACTTGTATATATACAAGTATATATAAGTTGTTAGATACTTGCTAACGTGTGGCACAGCATTGTTCGGTGTCTGTATAGCTTGTGCTTACTAAAAGACAGCAGAAATTGTTTGCTTGGTGTGGTCATCCCTTCCTCAAACTTGGAACTTCAGTACAAATTTGCTGTTTACTGTGCTGTTTTCTCAGAAGCAAAATTTGTATTTTTAAATACCTGCCAAAGGCATTCAGAATCAGTACAACTGCACAAATTGAAACAGGTTTGTAGCCTCGCATAAAATTTTCTGTAAACAGGTCAGCCTTGCCTTTTTGACTTAAAGAAAGGAGAACTGTCCATCTCTGGGTGTTCATTCTGTATCTTCACAGGCTGAAGTTCTACAACTGTGAAGTATCCAAATGTCTGAAGAGGAGATCAGATAAGGCCCTAAACAATGATAACAAAACATAGCACATCCAATAATTTCAGACCTAAGAAGGACTCCTAAGGAGTCCTTGCTAAACTGCATTGAAAGGTGCACTCTGTGTGGACTTAGCTCAGCTGGCTCCCATTTCCAGTGTAATGACATTCAGCACAGATGATCCGGAGGCTTCAGCCTCAAGTGCTGTGCAGGCTTCCTCCAGAATTCCTATTCCCAGTGCTGTTCTGCACCTGTGATTTCCCAAGCTGTCATTCCAGCAAGCGAAGCAGACTCTCTAGATGTCTTGGTCTGCAGCTCCCATCAGTCTACACCATTGGCTGTGCTGGCAAGGGACAATGAGAGTTGTAGGCCAGTACATCTGGAGGACTACAAATTGGCTGCTCCTGGTCTGCAGTGTGAGATATGGTCCTGCAAACTCAATAAGCCCAGACAATCAAAGGAGAGAGATGGGACACTTGGGACCCCATATGGAATTGGCATGAGGACCTTTAAATTAAGATGTTCACACATGTTGCCGCAAACATCCAAACTCCTGTGAGTGAGCATCATTATTATTCATGATGTGCCAGTAGCATTTTGCAAATACCCGGAAACTTACAGTCAGCCTTCACTGCTGAGTCTAAATGAGACTTCTGGCATTCACCAGCAGGTGTCTGGCCTGAAGGTATGCATGCTAGTGAAGACTGACTTGGGATCTGGAATTATTGCCAGTACCTTGGGTATCCCCTGAAAAGTGTGCACTTTTCCTGGCGCTGATCATCTTAGGTGGTGTGGTGGGTGGCTTTCTAGTACTGCGGCTTCATAACATTCCCTTCCTATTCCTAACCAGGTCGCAATAGTGCCAGTTCTGGTCGAAACTTCTGGGTGAGTGGCCTTGCTTCCACCACCAGAGCAACGGACCTGAAGAACCTCTTTAGCAAATATGGAAAGGTAAGGCTGCATTGATAAGCTGTATGATAGAGAAATGGGGGTGACCCTTGTCCAAGGAGCAGTGGTCCTAGCCCCAGAACTGCAGTGCTTCTGTGCAGGTTTTCTAGCCAGCGATGCCATCCTGCAGGATAAGCCATTCTTCTCTGTCTACCCCTCTGACACCCTGCTTTCTTGTTTTCTTTTCCAGTAAAGATTCTGTGACTGTTTTCTAAATTCTGCTTTGTGCTTTTGCAAACAGCAGGATTTTTTTTATTTTTTATTTATATCCTGCCTTTTCCTACAAAGGGCTCAAGGCAGCTTACATCATTCTCCTCTATTTTATCCCCACAACAACAACCCTGTGAGGTAGGTTGGGCTGAGAGTCTATGACTGGCCCAAAGTCACCCAGTTGGCTCCATGGTTGAGTGGGGACTAGAACCCAGGTTGTCTGAGTCCCAGTCCCATGCTCTTAACCACTACACCACACTGGCTTCCTTGTTTCTATCACCTTCTCTTTTTCTTAGCCACCCCAATCTTGACTCTCTCCATCTGCACCTGCCACTCAGATTTGCTGTCACCCAAGAGAGGCTGTGGAAAATTTTGACTTGGAATGAAATTGAACAGCTGTAACAACAAGTTATTTTGTTGGGTGCCACAGGATGTACTAAAACACATTGTCCTGGAATATGCAGTTGCAGAGGGTTTGCTGTTGAGTCTCTGGCTGTGTACGAAGCACCACACTTTCCTCTTCACTGTGTGTGAAACAGTCATGATAATTTGTTCTTGGAAGTACGTCAGCTGGGAGCCACAAAACTGGATGTGTTGAAACATTTCAGGAAATGTATGTGGCAAAGCCATTCTTGTTCTCTAGTTAGTATGAGAAGGCATCCTCAGAATCCAACCAGTTAACCAGGAAAGGTAGGGATCATGAGGCAGAGCGCTCTCACAGCCTTAACATGCCATGCTCCTCTCTGGTTCATCTCTGCCTTTTACATAGCTTAGAACTTTTCTGACTTCCTGTTATTTCTTCTCCCATTCATCTCTTTATCCTAGCTTTCATGGTTTTTGACTTTGTTTTTCCTCACAGCTATTCTTTGGACTCCTGTTTTGCCTTCTTACTGGAACTTATCTCTCTCTTTTTAACATCGCCATTATTTTTCTCTCACTGTGTGGGCAGTCTTTCTTTCCCCCATTCTGTTATCCTTTGAGCCCAGGGGGCAAATGATGTAGCCCATACCTATGAAACAGAAAGGGAAAAGGCAGCGCTTCTGCACATTCGCGTGCTCTGATGGTTCAGACCTGCAATCAGAGGCACAAAGGTACAGTCCTGGCACTTGGTAGGCCAAGGCACAGCAGACTCCCTTCTGTGCCCACAACCGGCCGCCAAGAATGCAGAAAAGTAGCAAGGCAGAAACAGACAATCATGCTATTTGCTCCGTTTGGAAATAGGTTTGCAGGGAATAAATGCAGACAACAATTTCTTTGCGCCCTTCCAGTGCATAGAAAGGAGATAATGTGTTAGATCTCACTTTCTGGTCATGTTACATGCAATATTTATAAAACTCTCTGAGTTGGATTGTTGTGACCGTGCCACTAAAATAGCCACATCAGCCTGTTGACTGCAGACCTCACTACTACCCAGAATGAGATGGAGCGTGGGGATCTGTAAAATCTCCCCCATGCAGAGACACACTTTTGATTTCCCAAATGCCAGGGGTAGACAAGAGGGGCTGTTTGCCTTCTGTGCCCCAGAGTTGCTTAGGCTTAGGGTTAGTTAAAAGCAAGATGCTGTGACAGGAGGACTTTTTGATTTCATCTGGCATGGATTTGTACGTTAACGTGTTTCCACAAAATACTTAAATGTTATGTGCTTCCTTTTCTCAAGGTGGTTGGTGCAAAAGTGGTGACCAATGCACGCAGTCCAGGTGCCCGATGTTATGGTTTCGTGACAATGTCTGCAGCTGAAGAAGCCACAAAATGTATTACCCATTGCCATAAAACAGAGTTGCATGGGAAGATAATATCTGTGGAAAGAGTTAAGTAATGTTTCTGATCCTTGCTATCCAGCCCTGACTCCCCTTTCTTCAAACCAAAATGAAACCCTTTTAACTTCATTTTTTCCTGATGATTTCAGGCGAAAAACGAACCTGCCACAAAGAAGCTTTTGGATAAAAAAGACAGTGAGGTAAAGAATGAAGCTTCAGCCAGTGAAAGGTAACCAAAATCAGGATTACTTTCTTTTTTTAAGCCTTTTAGTTGCAAAGCAACAAAATGCAAATTTACTTTAAATCTAAAGTAATTTAAAATTGAAGCACACACTCCTTGCTACAGGGCTCTTGATAGATGTATAACATGGATGAATAACAAAATAAGGGTCCTAGTTCCAATGTTACGCTAAGCTAGAGAATCCAAGCTGATGAAGATTGAACTAGTATGTTGGGAGAATATGGCATAAACATCCCCACTTGACTTCTCTTTCTGGGAGGAGCAGCTAAAAAACAGGTTTCTGGTTTCTTTAGATATGGGATGATTAATAAACTTTGGTGGCTTCTGGGTGGCTTTGCACCAACAACAAACAACCACCCCTGCTGGGTTTGTCCATCATGACAGACCGACCACGCTGCTGCAGGTAGTTATGCGGTCAGGCACACCAAGACACACACTCTTCTCCCATGGTTTATTGGGAAGTCTGAACTAGAATTTCTGACATTTCTCTCATATCCAACCCCAGCAAACAAGCAACAACAAACCATAGATCACAACTCTGACTTGCTTACAGGGAAATAACCCAGGCCTTCCTGGTTACGTCTCACAATAAACCAGTGATGGAGGATTTATAATCCATCTAGCCTGTCTTGCTTAGAGCAATCAGATGGCATGCACCACCATGCTGCTTGATCCTGACATGGTCCTGAGGAAAAGATTCAGTCATTGGTACATTCTGGAAAGACTACTTCAGTGGATGTCTGAATGCAGAGCTCTGTGGCCCTCCCTGCATGCTTTGCGAGAGGACCTGATGCAATCTCTGGGGCTTGCACTGTGCAGCGCTCTGCCTCCCCAAGACTACCATGTTGGAGGGAAGTGGTCTACCCCAAGCTCCTCCTTGCAGAGGTGTATTTTTATTGGTGCAGAAAGAGGCTGATGTGAAGTGGTCGTTCACGTTTGTCTGCATTCTGAGGATGGTGCTCTGGGTGAATCTTCCTTCAGTATTGCAATCGCAGACATCCCAGTATTTCCATTTCTACCAAATGGACCCCTTCTTTGTACCTGCAGGAGCAGTGCTGTTTGGCGACATTCGATTGCTAATCTGTTTGCCCTGGGGAGTCTTTTAAAAGTATTCACAAACATGCAATAATATTGCAGCGGCTCAATTAAGAGATTTGCATTCATTTTCTTCCATGGTGAATTCAACCATTTTGCAGGTCTTCTAGCATAAAAAAGCTCGAGAAGACTGACCCAAAAGATGATGCTAAGAAAGCAGAAGAAAAGGATGAAAAGGGGAAAGAGGAGCTGCGATCTGGTTCGGCAGATCAGTCCAAGACTTCAAAATCAGGTAATTTGCTATGCTGTTTCGTGGGGGTGGTGGGGATAGCATACATGGCAAACTGCTGTGACCACTGGGAAACCTCATTTTGTGTTGCCCATCTTACACCCCCTTCCTTTGCTTTGTGTAGGAAGCAAAGGAACAGAAAGGACTGTGATCATGGATAAATCCAAAGGTGAACCAGTTATTAGCGTGAAGACAAGCAGATCAAAAGAGAGAGTGAGTAAAATGGTGACTTTCCTTAACCATAATGAGTGGTTTTTAAATTGTTGGAGGGGTATTGTATTTTCAAACTGAAGGTCTTCAGACATCCAACTCCAGTACAGAAGCTTTGGGGCTTCAGGGTGATCAAAAAGATAGATCCTGGAGTGGAGCATAAGCTATAGAAAGAGTGGGTTTCTTTTCCCTCTGTTGGCTTATTCCATAATTATCTGGTCCAGGAAGGAATCTCAGCATGGCAGTGGACTCACGCTGCCTTAGCCGCCCACAAAGCCTCTCGTCTTTATATCTTGGAGAAACTGCTTGCTGCTAGGGCTTAAGTGTGAAAAGGGAAAGCACAGAATGATCATCCACGGCAGCACATTCCCTGCAGAGAAAGACAAGGCCTGTTTGGGGCTGCTTGATCGAATGCAGGAGGCCTCCTAAGATCAAGTAGCAGGGAACACAAGTACGTAGGAGAATGCCGTTGCCACCCTCATCTCCTCTTGTCATCCTCTTAAGAAACAACTCATTGGTCCTGGTGGGAGCAGCATGCTGGACCTGCTTCAGTTTGGCTCAGCACAGCTCTAGCTTAGTAACAGGAGCTGAAGATGGAGGGAACAGAACTGAAACTGGCACAATCACACACTGTGTGAGAGGAGTGGGGCTGGGGGGGAGGATTTTTCTTCCTCTTTTTTTTTTATTAAGTTTTATTATTATTTCTACAAACTAAAAAAAACCTAAAAACATCACTCTTCAAAGACATCAGACATACTGGGTCAGCCCCCCATTATTATTTTTATAACAATCCATAGGCATATTCAGATCCACGCATAGTCCCATTTGTTCAGCCAATAATAAAAAGAGTTCCAAGTTTGATAGAAATATGTATCCTCTTTCTCCTTCAGAGACAATGTCAGCACAATCCAAGTCCATTTCAGCACAATCCAAGATCTTCAGTGGGTGGTTCTTCACTCCTCCAGTGTTGGGCAAATACAATCCTTGCCACAGTAATTACATGTAGAATCAAATACGTTGCTTGTTTGTCAACATCATCAGAAACATCATCAGACACAATGCCTAATAAAAAGACTACAGGTTTAACTATTAAAGGTTTTTGTAACATTTCCTCAAGCCATTTATGTATTTTAGCCCAATATTTTTTTGCCTTACCACAAGTCGACCAAATACAATAAAAAGTACCAGGTTTATGTTTGCATTTCCAACATCCATTTGACATATTTGGAAACATTTTTGCTAATCTATTTGGCGATAAGTGCCATCTATAAAACATTTTATAAAGATTTTCTTTATATGAGGTTGCTGAGGTTATTTTTTCTTTCCCACAACTTTTGCCATTTCTTTAACTCAATATTATATCCAAAATTTTGTGCCCATGTTATAGTTTCCTTAAGTTGTTCATCTTCCATTCTCATATCCAAAAGAAAATTATATAGTCTTTTAATCATTTTTTCATCTGATTTTTTTATTTTATTTATTTATTTATTAAAACATTTTTATGCCGCCCCATTCGTCGAAGCCTCACTTTAAATGATTTTAAAATCATTTGATCAAATGTTGTTAAATCCTTATAAAAACCACACATTTTGTAATCTTTATCTCAATTGTATTTGAACCTTGTGCCACCAAGAGATATCAATACCCTGCTCTTGTAATTCTTGATTCAGTTTCAGTCTTCCATCATTCAAAATATCATCATATCTCACAATCCTATCAAAATTCAATGCATTTGCATATACAAGAGCTTCCATAGGAGAAAGCCATCTTGGCAACTTAGTATACAGCTTTGTCTTTAATTTTTCCCACACTGACAATGACTTTCTGATATAATGATTTAAGAAACAACCATGTGTCTTACACTTCTCATACCACATATAATAAGCATGCCAACCCATTTGTAGATCATGCCCTTCAAGATAAAGGATTCTCTTATTTCTTAAGGTTATCCATTCTTTTAACCACATTAGGACAGAAGCTTGATAATACAACATCCAGTCAGGAAAGCCAAAGCCCCCATTCCCTTTGGCCTCTTGCAGCATTTTTAATTTAATCCTTGGTTTCTTCTTGTGGCATACAAATCTCAAAGTTTGGGTGTTTAGATCATCAAAAAAATTTTTATCAATTTTTATTGGAATTGTTTGGAATAAAAATAAGAACTTTGGTAATATATTCATTTATTCATTCATTTTTAACTTGCTATTCTTCCAAACAACGATAATTGTAAATTAGCTCACTTTTCCATCACTCTTAATTAAGAGCCCATCACTCTTAATTTCCTTAAATAGTTTAACATAATTGTCTTCTTTCAATGTACATTTAGCTGTAAGAAAAATTCCCAAATATTTAACCTTTGTAACAATTTGAAGATCTACTTGTTCAATCAAGATCATTTTCTGCTTCAGTGTAAGATTTTTCACTAGCAATTTTGTCTTTTCTCTTTTTATCCCGGTAACTTCACCATAATCATCTGTCTTTTTTAAAAGTTTAAATATATATTTATCTATTTATATTTAGCCTTCACGCTTCTACCTTTTCTCTTTTCTTTTGGTTCTGATAGCTGTTCTTCTTGTTGGTCTGTAGTTGCTGTTTTTTCTTCTTCAGGGTGATAGGTTGTTACAGCCATTGCCTCAGCATTTTCCCCTCCTTTTTGTTCAGTCGATTCTTCATCTTCAAATGAGCTTCTAAATTTTTCATAAAAATCTTGGGCCTTGAAAATTGAATCCAGTCTGTATCTTGTACAGTTCCAAGTGAGAAATATCCCTTCTGGTGTTATCCATCTAAACATAATTCCTTTCTTTATCAGCTTCGAAGTGAGAAATTGGTACTTCTTCCGTCCTTCTCTAATCCTCCATGGTATTTGTTTCAGAACAGTCACCTCATGTTGATCATTAAATCTTAATGATTTATCATGTACGACCCTCAGAACGTTATCTCTTACAGATCTTGCAAATTTAACATGAACTGCCCTCGGTAGTTTGTGTCTTCTAACATAGCTTGAGTTAACTCTTTAAACCAGGTCGATCTCTTTATCCATCTCTTCATTTTCCAAATCAAGAGCGTCTGCTAGCATAGTATTCATTAATTCCCTTAGATTTTCATTTTTTGTCTCTGGTATATTCTGAAATCTTAGATAGTTAGATGCCTTCTCCATCTGCAGTACAGCAACTGAATCCCATAATGACTTACTTGTTTGTGTTAATTGTTGTATCTCTATCTTTTCAGTTTTCTTGTCAGTATCAGCAGTTTTCTTTTCCACTTGTATTTTTGGTTCGTTTTGTTTAGTTTTAAGTCGGATCTGCAAGTTGATTACGTATATCCACAACATGACTATCCAATTTGTCCAATTTGTCCATTCCTTCCCTTTGTTCCGAAGCCATATTCCTTTGTTCCGATGTCAATTTTTGTATAGCATTTTGCATAGACTCTTGAGATGTTTGCATAGATGTTAGAGATGCTTGTATTGCCAAAAGTGTCATTTGTAGGTCTTTTTGGAATTTTTCCAAATCCACAGTTTTTGATTGGTGTGTTGGACTTTGCGAGGCAGACACAGGTGCCAAAGATGATGGATGAGTTTTTTTCATGGTGACAATGAAGGGTTTAATTGAAAGAGTTTTTTTTAAAGTTACCCGTTGTGTTACTAAATGGCCACGAGATGGCAACAAAAAATTGCCCAGAAAGAGAGAGAGAAAAAGGGTTTTTTTTGGCACACAATGTATCTGTTGAAGGTAAAATGGCCACCCGGTGGCAGCAGCAAAAAGATATTTGGTAGTATAAGGAAGACAGAAAGATCTTCAACTTCGTACAGGAACTAACAAGATCAAATCGCCATGTCGTCTCCGAAAGAGGCATACAAAAACAAAACAGAAAGAAGACTTTTTCTACCAATTAATATACAGTAAGCTCTAGTTTAATTCTTCAGCCCTTGGGGAGATTAAAGTATCTCTCCTTTTCCAGGTCTCTAATTTCCCGAGTCTCACTTAATCTCCCCTAGATTTGTTGCCACTTGAACTCCACCGGGGGGGGGGGTCCCCCTCTGTCTAAAGGGCCTTTCTTTTTTTATTCAGCTTGATAGTATTTTCACAGGTTCTTTCATGAGCAGTAATTTAAGAGTTTGATTGCTCACCCAGCAGGTTCCTTGTCCACTTTTAAGCTTCTTTTTTCTTCGCTACTAAACCAGCACCAGCAACTTGCAAAGGGGAAATGCACCCCTGTCTCTCCATTCACTGAGAATTTCCCCAAGTTTCTCCCAATGGATCGGGGACCACCACCCCCACCAGCCAGAAGTGTGCTCGGGCTTCTAATCCCTGCCCCGACAGGGCTTGGATGGGCCTCCCAGGGCCCTCTGTAGAACGGATTTCAGCATGAAGTACGGATTCCCCGTTCTCCACAGCTGTCTCGTCGTGACATCAACCGGAAGTCCAATTTTTCTTCCTCTTCTTAATTCCAGAAATTGTGGTCTTTCAAGGATATTGATTGGCTGGGAGTCTGATCTAGCCGGAGTATATTCTTGTGAAAAGCCTGATCCTGTATGGTTTAGTTCATGTAGTACATTGCACTTTACATTTTTTTGGTGGATGTAGGTAGAATTACAAGCTCCTTCCCCATATTTTTTGAATGAAGTCTGTTTCTTAGCATTGGCTCAGGATTTTTCAGGATCCTTGGGTGTGTGCTGGTTGGGAAGCGAGTAGTGATGTGTAGGGACGAAACTCTTGCAGCTATAAACTTTCAAAAGACAAATTTGGTGGGAATCTGAATTAAATGGATGTGTTCCATTTCCAAAACAAGATATCCTTGAATTACAACTACCCGTAACTTGTACAACTTTTAACATTCAATGCAGAGCATCAAGAGCCAGGATCGCAAATCAGAGAGCCGAGAAAAGAGCAGAGAGAGGCAAGGGTCTGTGCCCTTCAACAAGATCAGAGTGAGGCGAGTGACTGCAGAACAACGCCGGTAAGATCCAGATGCAAAAGCAAAGGCTCCTCTCTTGTCAGTAAAACTTGCTTGCCCATCTTCATCTTCAGTTGTAAATGCTGTACCCACGTCATAGGGAACCTGTTTTTAATCCTGTGGTTTGTGAGCCGCCCAGAGGTGCTGTGGCACAATTGGGTGGCATACAAATGTTTTAAATATATAAATAAATTGGACACTGGATGCCATGTGCTCCTGGTCCCAACAGGCCAGCCATGCCTTCCTGCAGAATATGAGTAAAAGATGGACTAGCTTTAAAAAAACAAGTCAAAGCATCGGGTAGGCTGGAATTTCAGCAGGCTGCTCAGCAGGCTGTTCAGGTGCTATGTTGCTCTTTCACAGTCTGCCACATTACAGTAATGTAAAGTTGGCATGAAAAATGGGAAGTCTTATTTTAAACAATTTAATATTCAGGAAAATAGAAGTCTTAAAAAAGTATTACTGTTTGTACTTCAGTGTTAAGCTACGGTGTTATTTATGTTTGATAAATTATATCAGTTTGTTAGCAAATATCAGTGAAGAACTGATTAACTGTGGATAGAAGAGTGAGAAATCTTTGCTTTTTCATGAACTTACTAGATGTTGAAGTTACATGCTATATTTCTGTGCTATCCCTTCGTATTCTTTTTCTCATTTTTTTCTTTCTCTTTATTTGTACCTTATCAAATAAAATTTAAAAAGCAGCTGGCTGAGTTGGTGAAGCAGGGCATGGGTGTTTTGGCCCTCCTTGGCCTGCCTGCTTACTTGCCTGAAGGGAATTGCATGTGCTCCGCTGCATGGGATTTCTGCTTACCAGTGGTGATCAGGCTGGTAGTGTAAGTATCAGAATAATTTGCAGCATTGTCTTTTGATATTTCTACCTCTTCTTCTGATAGCGCCCGGGATCATCGGGAAAGGCAGCAGCGCTTGCAAGCCCTCTGGGAGCAAGAGGAGAGGGAGCGGCTGGCAATCACCCGAGAGAAGCTGGAGATAGAGAGGGCACGCCTCGAGCGGGAGCGGATGGAGCGGGAGCGGCTGGAGAGAGAGAGGATGCACATCGAGCATGAGAGGAGGCGGGAGCAGGAGCGCATCCAGCGGGAGCGGGAGGAGCTGCGGCGGCAGCATGAGCAGCTGCGTTATGAGCAGGAGAGGCGTGTGGCTGTGAGGAGGCCTTACGACGTGGATAGGAGGTGCAAATGAGTGAACATCCATGTTCGCATGCGCAGGCTTGGGGTATCTTCAGCAGGGCCTTTCCTGCACTTTTCCCACAGGAATCTGTTCACTGAAAGCTCCGTCTTGTGGGGAAGTTATGTGCAAGTGAGCTTACCACAGTAGGTTGTGTGGGTTCATACCTCCGTTGTACTGGCTGGAGCCTTGTGGGTGTCCCCTCTTTCTCTGGCATTAACACATAGAAAGGTGCTTTGTATCAGGACGGAAAGGTGGTTGGCCTCACCCAGCATGTTACCTCCACCAGGCATCACTACCTTGGTGCTTTCCAGATGGGGCAAACTGCACGTCACATCTTGCCCAGCCAGCACACCAGGGACCAGCTGACTTACAGTAGTGGGGGTCCTGGTCCAACTCTAGGCACCAGGTTTGAGAAGGTTGGTCTTTTCTGGCCTGGTAGCCAGTTATTCTCCAGAGTGGCAGGTGCCAGCAAGTATGCCCCTTTCTCAACCTTGAGCCCCCAGGTGGTGTTGGATAATAACTTCTGTACTTCCTGCCCACTATCCATGCTGTCTGGGGTTGATGGGATGGCTGTCCATAGTTAGGAAAGGCTGTTTCCATTGGAGGTGGAAGAAATAGAATCTTCTGCCGACAAAGCATATGGGCAGAAGATTCTTCCCAACCTTATCTAGATGGAAGGGTAAGTCAGTGAGTCACAGTAATGTGATGGAACGTTATAGTTATTAGGTGGTATGTCTGAATGACAGATGTTCAGGATAGCCATCATGCCCTGTCTGCATGGTTTCCAGAGCCACTTGGCTAGCTGCTGTGGAAAACAGAATGCTAGGCTTGCTGGACCAGCTTGATCTAAAGCCACAACATGGTTCTAATTGAATTTCAGAGTTCTTTGCTCCAATTTCCAGAGAAGGAACATAGTCTGGGGTGCCAACCCCACACATACATTCATAAGAGAAATGGCTCAAGGAACTGCAGTAGCCACCCTGACTTAATCTTTTCTCAGGAAGATTGCAGACTGTTTATCAAGCTGTTAGCATATGCTTTAATACTGTCACTTGTTAAGTGCTCTTTCTCATGCTACCCAAATGATGGCTGTTGTCCTCTCTCACACCATGACTTTGGGCCAGTACTTACTCTTGGCCAAACCTAACTCACAAGGTTGTTATTAACATTTAGAGGAGGAGACCATTGAAATTTTTCTTGGGTCCCTTGCAAGAGGAAGAGGATTATGTTTATAATTGCAGTATAAACGTAATCAAAAACTGTCCCTTTACTGGAAATGACAGCTTCCAGAAAAGAGATTTTTAAAAAATTAACAGCTTGTAACTTGACATTGCATAGACTTGTTAAATTGCGGAATAATGAATTAATACATGATTAAGTGTTCATTGGTATGCATGCTGGGAATTCTAGGCTTTTTCTGTCTAAATACACATAGCATTGTGCTTTAAAGTATTCAGTCACTCTTAGATTCTAGCATTCATCTAGCTGGAAGTGCTGGGTGGGAGAGGTAGGGAGTATTCTGTAGTAGTTGCTATCTTCTTTTCCGATTCCTCTAATTTTTTTCCCCCAAATAATTTTGTGGTCTGTTGAATCTTTTTCTCTCCCGGAATCTCATCTTGCTTGGGTGCACCAGCAACAAATGGCATCGGGGGAAGAAATCTGTCCTGATTTCTTCATCTGCATTTGCCTTGCAGGAGGGATGACCCCTACTGGCCAGAAGCAAAACGAATGGCCCTGGATGACCGTCATCGCTCAGATTTTTCCCGCCAGGATCGGTTCCATGACTTCGATCACAGGGATCGTGGACGGTACCAAGACTATTCTTTGGACAGGTCAGCTGTGTAGTTTGCTGTGTTCTCCCTCATGCTGTGGGGATTTTACTTAGAGGACTTATGTTCCATCGTTCAACAAAAACATTTTCAGAACAGTGGCGAAGGATACACTTGGGTTCCTGCATTATTTCTTGTCCAAACCAACACTTGCAGGAAGGGTGTCTTGGATGGAGAAAGGGTAGAGGGGAATATCGTCACCCTCCTGTTAGGGAGGGGTGCTGTTTAAAAAGCTGCTGGGTTTCCTTGTAGTGAGGCTTTGTTCCTTACCAACACAGTTGCTATTTTCATGTTGTTGGGGCAGAATAGGACAGGTCTGCTTCTTTCTGGCCAGGACTAGACTTACCCGCATGCTTCAGGCTGTGTCAGAGCAGTACATGCTACAGTTATGTGCCTTTTGTCTGCTGCTGTGTCTGTTCCTTCCCTCTGGATGGGAGAGCTCTTTCAACAGCTGCTAGGGAGCAGCAGAGAGGCAGAAGGATGGTTTCTGCTGACCCACCCCCACACCCAGCTGCTGCTGCCACTGCCACCACCCACACATCCAGAATGTGTCAGAAGAGGTTCTGTGTGGGCATGACTGCTGGCTCAAGTGTGATGTGTCTTGTCACGTCGCCTGTTCTCTTCCCCCTCACCACAGTTTGATATGCTCTGAGTGTGTAAAGGGTGGGGTGGGATGCTTGTCAGCCCTCCTTCTCTCTCTGGTGTGCAAACATTCACAAGTTTCTGTGGAATTTAATTAGCTCTCAGAAATGCACCTAGATACAAAGGAAAGCATGCATATAAATGTCATTGTCCATTCAGTGTTGCAGTGGGGCAGGGCTGAAAAACCTGTGACCTTGCAGATCATATTGCACTGCAGCTCCCACAATCCCCAGCAATTGTCCGTGGTGGTTTGGAGTGATGAAGTGCTAATCCAACATCTGGAGGGTCTTGGGTGTCCTGAGAGTGAGTGAGGCATGCATCTGTTCTGTTCCAAGAGTTGGTGATACTCATAGAAAGAGATTGTTTGCATTCGTTTGCCTTCCTGCATATGTACCAGCAAAATTGCCAGCATGAGGATCTGACTGTGATTGTATTACTTTTCCCAGGAGAGAAGGGTCACGTGGAATGATGGGAGACAGAGATGGACAGGTAAATTGGTTTTTTGTGGATTGGGTGCTATTAAAATGCTTAAGGCTAATGACATTTGCTTTTTGGAAGACTCTGTAAGACACACTTCTTATTAACAGACAGGCCTGTTTTGTAACTAAGGTCAAGCTTGATTTTCAGTAGTGGTAAGGGTTGTGAATAAACTTGATAGCTGCTCCTTTGCAGAGGTCAGGTGCTGAGCTTGCTCAAGGTAACACACATTTTGCATCAAGGTTTACATCCTGCCTTTATTCCTCTTGTGAGGAGCCTAAGGTGGGCATACTCTTCTATTCCAGTTTATGTCAGTGGCGTACCACCCAGCATTATTTGAGAAAGTTTTCTGATAATACTCGTATGCATGCTCAGCACTGAGCTATAACCAAAATCAGCATTGTACCAGAAAGACAGGAAAAAATAACAGTATTAGCCAGCATATAAAAGCACAGCAGGCTCAACTGCAAAATTGCACAAGTCAGTACCAGCCAGCACCTGAGAGTATTCAGTATATTGGCAAATCCTGAAAGAGTAGAGTTGGAAGGGGCCTTTAAAGCCAGTGAGTCCAGCCAGTGGGGCTTTTCTGGAGAGGCCATTCCATGGCATCAGCATCACCACTGGAAAGACCCTGCTCTTGGATTTTTTACTGTCAGCAGCACCCAGAGTAGATTCCTCCATATTGAACTGCAGCTTACCTTTCAAGGCAAAGGTGGCCTTCAAGTTCCCAGACCCCCCAGCCATTCTTATTTTCCACCTCTGTAATAGTAGCCAAGGACTGGTAAGATCTCTCACAGCTTTGATGCTTTTCTCTTCGGGTGATGAGGACCTTGCAGGAATGGGCCTACCTCTGTACAGCCTCTCCAGAGAAGGAAATGAGAGCAGCTCTCTGTCACTTAATGCTCTGAGTCCGCTGTGCAAACCTCTGTGCACACCTTATCTGGTGGATAACCATTGCATAAATGTCATTCTTGTCTCCTTGTTCAGCATTACACTGATGAAAGACATGGAGGTCCGGATCGCCATTCAAGGGATGGCTGGGGAAACTATGGTTCTGATCGACGCATGAGCGAGGGTCGAGGGATGCCCCCACCGTCCCGGTAAGTCAGCCCATTGTGGTGCTTAAGTCTCTTACCTAAATAGGTCTGAAAAAGATTGGGGCAGGTCGTGTGCAAAGGCTGCCTGTATTGAACCACCAAAATAAATTAGAACATGAGCACAAACATGATGCTACTAAAAAAAAAATACACTCGTGCTATACCCAGTTTAAAAATGCTGTGCTTTTTTCATGTGGCAGCTTCTTAAATGTCTTGTCAAAGGTGCAGTGGAGCAGGCTGGGCTGAGTGTGGAACTACTCCCAGGTGTGGTGATGGTGGTTGGCACAATATCTGGGACTTTGCCAAGACATGATGGGATGCATTTTAAAAAGGGTTTCTTTAAACGTGCACAATTTCCTGTGGTACCTTTTTAGTCTTGATCGTCTTTTATTCTGGTTCATCAAACCAGTCCAATGGGGAAAAAAATTTTCTCCATACTCTTCAGCTGAAAATGCTCCTAGAATACCTGATGCAGGTCATAAACAAGGAGGTCCTTAGGCTTTCAGTATAAATGGCATGGCAGAAACGGAGTGGAGTGGGAAGCCAGCTGAGCATCCATTCTTAAATAGTTAAAATTATTGTAATGACCTGGTGAGACAATCAATTTGGGGAAAGGGGCCTCAGCAGTCTTGCTGCCGAGTAGATGAGTGTGTGTCTGCGTCCCATCCACCCCCACCCACTTCCATGCTGCAGCTAATGGACTAACTGCTCACAGCTCACGCGCTCTCCCTCCCTCCCTCCCTCCCTCTGTGTGCACGTGCGTGTGCACGCAATTACATTTTTTTGAAATATAGCTGGGGGAACTGGAAAGTAGAAACATCACGTGCTCCCGGTGACAAGATATTCTACAATATGTATGTGCTTTTGTGGGGATTCTCTCTACAGGGAGGGAAAGGCTGTGCTTATAGATCATTTCTTTTGCAGTGATGGGCGTGACTGGGCAGATCACACCAGAAAATTTGAAGGCCATCCAGATCGCTCCTGGCAAGGCAACAGCGATGGGGAAGCCATGGGGCGGGACCATGAGCGGTGGCGAGGTAAGATTTTCTAGTCCAGCACTCACCCTTCTCCTTGTCTCCATTTCTGGAGGAGGCTTATCCATATTTCATTTTTATCGTGTTCCATAACCAGAGCTCCCTGGGTAGTTCACGGCTTCTGTTTATATAAGCCAGTCCCTGGGTCCTTGTTCGAAAGGGGGGGGTGCCTCCCTGCACCTTTTAGGGCCAAATGTGTTGGTTCACAGTCCCCTGTTTCTGGAGCCAAATTGCTCGTCCATTTTACTTCAGGGGATATGAAGAACAGTGAGCCCTGCCTTTAAAACAACTGGGATTTGTAACAGGAGCATGTCCTTAAAACTCTTCCATTCTTTCCAGGTGGGACCCGAGGGAGACGCGGCCACATAATGCAGCGAGGTGGAATGTCTGGGTATGACGCAGCCTTGCCTTCTGCATTCAGAATAACACCAGCTGTTCCTTGTTCCGCATCAGATGCCGTTGCTCCAGTGCCCTTCCTCCTCCACTCGGGAAAACACTGTCTGCATACAAGGAGTTCTTTACTTCTTTTTACTTGTGTTACCTAAGTCCTCCTTCACAGGCCCCAGTGAGGCCTAGGGCAGTGTTAGATGTAGGAAACTCCCTGTGTGACCTTGTGTCCTGGTCGAATGTTAACCAGATGGAAGTTTCTTGTCCCTTGTTCCCAGGGAGGTAGGCCATGGAACCAGGATGGGCCAAGTTGTCTACACTCCAATTATCATTCCTTTTTAAACCCCACACTTTTAAGAGCAAAAAACCATGCCCTGTTCCATAGTGATCATTAGTCTCTGCTAGTAAAAGCTTTCTTTTAATTGCTTTTGACCTGTGGCAGGAGAATAATGTACAATTTGAAAGCTTGCTTTGGGCCGCTTTTACTTTTGAACTTGCGATGAAAAAAACAAGGTAGGAAAAATTCAGAATGTTACCCAGTTTGCCTCCAGCTGTGTGCTGGGATGGTTAGAGTGTTGGAGCAAGACTGTGGAGACCTGGACCCAAGCTGAAATCCTCACTTGGGCATAGAGCTCACTGGGTGACTTTGGCCTGTCGCAGACTCTCCGGCCAACACACCTCACAGGGTTGAGAGAATACAGGGAGGAGGGGGAGGGGCTCCTTGGAGGAAAAGGGGAGTGCAAAAACCAGTCCAGAGGTGGGGGGAGCAGAGCAGAGGGAGTGTAGCTCTGTGGAGCTTCACAGTTGCCCATACCTGTGAGCCTGTTCCGAAAATGTAGATTCTGAGCCAGGGAGCAGCACGTGTTTTGCCCTGGCTTACATCCTGGCCTGAATTGCTGCCCTTTCTTTCTGCAGTGCCTTCCTTTAGTGCCCAGTTCAACCCCTTCCAGAGAAAGCCCCCAGCTCCAGGACCTGTTGCAGCTTTGACCCCTGGACGGTTATAATGTCAAGACAGGTTCGCTCACAGATTTCTTTCTTTGTGGTCTGTTTGCAGGAGGGGAGGATTCATGCAGAGTGGTCCTCAGGGCCAGGCCTCACATGGAGAAGGCTTCTCTGGACAAGACAGGGGAAGCAGGCCCAGTGATCCTCGGTTTAGCCGCCGCTATTGAATGTTTTAGCATTTTTTAACTGTACAAATGGCAACAGATGCGGGAAGAAAAACATCACACTACTGACCGACTGTGACTTTTCAAGTTAACCTTCGTTGTTTTACTTCCTAGCATAATGTGTGAAGCCATTCAGTTTTTTGTAATGTGTTTCTGTCATGTGCTACCCCTACATGCGCGTGCACACACTCATCCTTCACCCCCATTTAAAATAAAACATGTTTCTTTTATGAGGCATTCCATTTTCTATAAATAAACAGTTTACAATTACCTAGCCATTGATTCTGAAGTCTGTTCAGAAACTTGACACTTTTCCCATGCAGAGAATTTCTGTGTGCAGGAAATTACGGCACCAGTGCATGCCAGTCAGTGACAAGTTGGCCTGTGTACATGTAGTAGAATCAACATGCTTCCCTAAGGCATACAGAGGCCCAGCACCTTGAAAGGTCTGCTCAGAACTGGGCTGGGCAAGGAGGTTTGGGAGTTTATCAGGGCCCACATTTCTCTTTCCTGTGTATACGGCTGCCAGCAGGAAGGTGCTCCGCCTCCAAGGAGCCCACCTGAGATTTGGGCTCTGGGCTGGTCCTGAAGGGAACGCAGCTGGATGCAACCATGCAGAGGCCATCCCGAACTGCAGTTCGTTTGCACATCGTGGCTTGTAGACAGACTATTCTCTTCTCCTGTTTGCTGCCATCTTTCATCTCATCTACTTTCCACATGAAGCGTGTATGCAGTCCAGGGCCCCACAGCTCTTGCAGAGTAGTGGAGCTAATTTTGTTTTATTCCTGTAGTCATGGAAATGCAAAATGTGGTGTGCTTGGAACATCGGGTTTGTAAAATCTGGGTTGCTAAGCTTGGTGACAATATTGGATACTGGCGTTTTATATACTACACGTGGCCATCCAAGGGACCCTCTAAGACCAATGTATAAAATAATCACACTACCGCTGGGCATGAGGTGTTTCTAAAGGATGGTACATGAAAATGTTCTCTAGGTGAGGTGTGCACAGGCTGAAAGGGGTCAGCTAAGCATTGTCTGAACCTCCCCTTGAACCCACAGCCTGAGTCTCGGCCACAGCCACGATGAGGTGTCTTAATATTTTATCAGATCCCCATTTCCCTGATCAGAGCTGAGTTGCTGGGACAATTAATAGGCTTTAATTTTCTTTAGAACTGAATCTTCATGGAAATATTTTCTTGTGAAAGTCTCAGTAATTGTGGGGTAAGCAGGGAGGCATCTGGGTAATTGCTAAAGTGAAATCAAGTATTCCAAAGGCAGGTGGTATCCTGTTGCGAAGGTTTCTTTCATCCAGCCACAAAGCCCAGGCCTGTTTCCTCTTCACGGATGGCTCTAATGCCAAGTGCAGGCACATGTAGATTGGCAGCAGAAGGGCTCTCAGAGGGATGGTATGGAGGGGCATTAAAAACTTGCAAACCCCCACCTACAGTTTGCAGGACAATCAAGCACTTGGTAAGAGAAACCTTTGTTTTCTGGGTTTTCCACCCCAAAGGTGGGCATTGTGGAAGTGAATGCAACCTGGCTCAGCCTTTACTAGTCTTGGAGGCAGACAAATAAGTTGGCACAGGCCTCCCTGTTCTCCAAAGCATGTCTTCCAGTGAGGAATCAGTTGGCTCTGACACACCTTAGGGGAGCAAGAATTCTTTCTTTAGAGCCATGATGCTTTATGTACCTTTTTGGAATGTGTGTGTTTGTCAAACTACTGGCACAGGTAGGATTTTTGTTTTCATTCTTGGTGACTTGCTATTGTCCTTTGAAGCATTGTCAGAAATCTATTGTTGACTCGAACCAAGTGAAGAACTTTTATATTACTCTTGCAGTATGTGCACACAACTGGTTTGCTGTAACTTTTTACTTAAGAACCATTGGAGGTGTTCAGTCCAAAATCTTTCAGAGCTGCTTGATCTGGCATCAGGTTGTGTTTATTAATCTAAAAGTGTTTAAAAGGTTGGCAAGCCATCACAGGGGCTGCATAAATTGGCAGGCAGAGCAAGGGAATTTATATTCAAAGCTTGAGTTTAAAAAGGTAGACCTCAATGTTATCAGCAATTCCCAAAGCTGGCATTAGGAATGGGTCTTGGGTCATAAGGGCTTGAGACCCCGTGCTTCTACCCTACTGTCCATGGGCAATTGTTGATATAAAGGTTTTGGGGCCCTGAGGATCTGAGCCCCCAGATTAGCTGGGTTTTGGCCCACATGTGCTTCACTTCCTGTTGCTCCTCTTTGAATCTCTCTGCCTGAAGTTTTGTTTCGTTTTGTTAATTCCCTGAAGTTAAAGAACTTCCTCTCTGCTGACCTGGGTACTTTATACAGATTTATGCATGTTTCCCTCTGCGAGCCCTGAATCTTTTAATCCTTGACAAAACCATTTAGACATTATTCTCATTCAAACTTCTTATGGTGCTTCAGCTTATGAATATAGCTTGGCTTGAGTTACATAATTTGAAATGTTTGCCAACTGTTGAATCTAGCAAGAAAGTAGTCTGATGCATCTTGTTTTAAAAAGCCACGGTATGTGCTGGGTGCACCATTTGCCTAATTAAACATCCATTTAGATGCAGTTGTTTGGTCAAAACTCTAGTAGCACAGCTTGTTGGAGAGGTAAATAACCCTCCAATAACCCAATGATAGTCTATGGGTTATTTGAGGGTTGTTTCTGACTCCAATAAATTATGCCAACCATGGTCAGACATGTTGTGAACAGTGGGTAACTAGGCAAATGGTGCCCAGCACAGAGTGCAGCATAAACAAGCCATGGTTTGTGCAAACCAGACCCAGGTGTCCTTGCACATGTGTTTGTGATGGAAAGAAGGAAGGAAAGAAAAAAAGGGAGGGAGAGGGAGAGAGAGGGAGGAAAGAAGGAAAGGAGGGAGGGAGGGAGGGAGGGAGGGAGGGAGGCCAGCCAGCCAGCCAGCCCTGTTGCTGAACACCTTTCACTGATTGGCTATGCTGCTGTGACATCACAGAGTGTCTGTGAATATTCGTATTGCTCTGGGCAAAGGTGTTGGCAACAGAATCTGGGTGGGAACTTGTAGAATGCCAAAAGGGAATGAAAAAGCAGTGTGCTCTTGAGGGTTCATAAGCAAAGCGTGGGGTGAAGTTAGTCAAGCAAAAGGTCAACTTTCTATTCTCTTTCTATTCTGTATGTGTTCATAGTGGTTTGTAGCTGTTTAGAATAAAGACGTTGGTCATATTTGCTGGAGTGATTGCTTTCATTGGGAAGGGGCACCTGGCTCACAACACTTGCATCCCCTTATCAGGAAGACCCGATAGTTAGTCTTCACCATTGCAGGGTGGACCAGCTGGGGACACAATGAAAGGAGAGGCGGTATGCCCAGTTCTGCCACAATTCCTCCCTGAGAGAGAGATGCAGAAGGGTTCATAAGGAAAGCTTTGGGTAAAGAATGTCTGAGAAGGTTCAACATTCCACTTTGGGCATGCTCAGAGATTCGCATGTAAAATACAGACGTTTGCAAAGAAGTGCTGGTGAGACTATGCCTGCTAGGAGGGAGAAGCACAGATCAGGACACAACACAACAATCACACTCAGAGGTTGAAACTGCATCATTGCAGAGCTGTGGGTGGTGAATGAAATGTAGCCCAGACCTGCTAATGAGCCATGATTTGTTGGCCACAAATAACCTCTGGAAAGAACCCACAGTTGGTTGTTGGGTGAGAATGGTGGATTGTTTATTATGGTTTGCCATCTCAGCTGCATTCAGACAACAAAATAACCCATGGTTCAACAACCTCTCATAACCAATCCTGGAGTGGAGGTTATCTTGGTGGCTGAATACAGTCTTTGATTTTAATTTGCCAGCTAATTTCCACAGGCCTGCTGGTCGCTCAGGGTCATGTGCACTCACTTCTCTCCCTCTCTGCCTAAGCCGATGAGGCCGGGCATCGAAGGGCCTTTGTGAAGTACCATGAGCTGCTTTCTTATGACAGAAGCATCTTGGACAAGAGGCGAAGGAGGAGGATGATGAGAGACCCTTTCTTGAACTCCAAGCCTATCAACGGTACTCCAGCAGCATTTCTACAGCAGTTCTTTTGAATGGAGGATCTGCCCATCCATCTGTCCGTCCATTCGTCCATCCATCCGTCCTTCCTTCCTTCCTAAATAAATATCCAGTGGGTTTTCCACATTAGACATTAAACACTAAGAGAAAAAAATTATCACCCTGTTCACCTTGTTTCATATCTCAGAAGGTATGTTGTTTTCATCCATCTCCACCTGAGGGCCCTGGCTTGTTGACCACGAACAACCCCTGAGGAGAAGCCATGGCTTGTTGTTGCCTCATGAACTTCTTGCCGTGGCCTGTTATCTCACTGGGATGAGACAAAATGAAAACCTGTATTTCAACAAGCCACAGCTCAATGGCAACCCATACTCAACTCATACTTAAATCTTGAGTGTGGGTCAGCATGTTCTGGGAAGCACCAGGCTGACAACTGGGCTACAGGACCTCATTCACCCCAGAGGGCTCAATTCTGCATCTGAGAAGCTCTCAGGAGTTGCATTTCAGTGGTGGTTAAGGGCTGAAGGCCAAAGGAGAGGCCCAGGAACGATCACATGTTTGGAGGGGTGGAGAAGAAGGCATGACCAGGGGAAAGGGCCAACCAAAGAAACTCAGAGGCCTGCAGCTGGTCCACTGACCTCAGGTTAAACACCACTGGTGCAGTGAATGTTCCACCAGATGGATCAAGAATGTGATTCAGCTGTTGGGATTGCATGCAGGGAATTACATATATACAGAGAGATACTCTGAAATATGACACTGTGCTTCTTGCAGAAATCTAAGTCAAGGGGCAAAGTTGACTCGCCAACCCGAACTGTGTTTTGCCCCTCTACAACTTTTCCTTCTTTTTTAAAGTTCAAAAGCTACACAATTGCAGTGGTGCCTCTTACGACACTTCCATGCCTTTTCCCGACTTGCCAGGAACCCAGGCTGCTTGCATGAACTGAGCATCAGTGCCTGGCCCAAAGTCACCCAGCAAGCTTTGTGGCTGAATGGGGACTGGAACCTGGGTTGTCCCAGTCCCACTCCACCGCCCTCAACACCATGCCGTGCTGGCTTGCAAATGAGTTCAGTGACAAGATCCACGAGTTGACAACACATTTTTGTAATAGCTGTGTTGCAGCATCTTCAGGAGGGACGCAAGTGTTTTGCAAGGGATGTCAAGATCAGCAGGGATCCTCAGTGCCTGTGGGTGCCTCTTTCATTTACTCTGGAGACCTGGAAGGTGAGAAACAA